GTTTTACCTGGGCAAGGTGTTGCTGGACAGGTGAATGGATCTGAAAGCGCTCAAGTTCTTCCTGGGCATGAAGTGGCTGGACAGGAGACGGCGCTGGAAGGAGCAGTGCAAATTCCCGGCGAGGAGACTGACCAAAATGAAGGAGAAGGTGGGAGCAATGATCTCCGTGGTGATGATGCGAAGAATTTGGACGGTGGTTTGGTGAGGAGTGACCTTCAGCAATTGCTGGTTAAAGGCCTTCTGAATCGGATTTATTGGAAGGTGGCAGTTGGCAAGTTGCCGGTCGGGCAAAGAGACTGCCAAAAAGGGTCCAATAAGATGGATCGAAATTTGGTTATTAGCATGTCATCCGAGGGTGCAAGCGAACAGGATGAGAACCTGGCGCTGGAGGACGATGCTGATCAGTCAATGGGTGACGGTGCGATGGTAGTTCTGGTGTATGATCCAAGGACACTGATTCAGTCGCCAACAACTGATTGGGTTATGCGTCGTGGTCTGACCGATCGTTCCATCTGGCCAGCAATGGCGTACACAGCACAGAGTATATGTGCTGAAATGGTTCAAGTGGATGAACTGAACGCCCAGTTGAATACTGGGAGACTCCTTTTTGAAAGGAGAGATCAAGGATATTATTGTGATTTGCATCATTCGTTCCATGACAATCCGTGCTTGCCGGTGGTGGGAAATTATCCTCTTTCGGTGATGGGTGCACTGCTTTCTCCTGGCCTGGAAAAGGAATTCAGGGATACTGGAAAGTTTGGAACTGCTATGGAGGCAATAGCCTATGATTGGAGTCGCAGTCCAGGCATGGAAGTTCATGTGGAACTTATGGCAAGGGTAGCCAATCTGGTCGCTCCATTCCTTAAACTTGGTGGCCAAGGAACAGTGGTGAATTCTGAGTTTCTCTGGCAGCACGGGAGGGACCAAATGATGGAGTTCCTCCAGGCAGCGACTTGCGCTGATCAATTGGAAGTTCTCTGGAGAAGAATGGACGACGATGCTGATGAAGAAGTGGATCCTACAGGAATGGTGCTGGAGATTCCCGATCAACAAGATGCGGTACTAGATCAAGGGAACAATGAATCCCTTATTCCCATTGAAGATGTTGGAGGTGAGACACTTGGTGACACTGGAAGGGATGGCAAAGCGCCAGAAGTCTCTCCAGAAGAGGAGACATCCAGTGGGTCGTCAAGACTGGCGGGCACAAGGATTTTCTTGTGGTCAGTGTACTCTCGTGTTGCTTCCAACTTCTCTACGCAGGACCGCACTACTGGGAAGATCTTTGACAGCACAAAAGGTTATCCTGGTGAAGGACCAAACAATGGTGACAATCCTTCCTCTAAGAGGAACTTACCCTGGATCTCTGAAGACTACCTCGACGAAGTGGTGTCAAAAAAGATGGAAAGGTCTTCAGATATGGATGGGCTGGAGGGGTCTGTTCCGGGAAGTGAGGGATCGTTGGAAAAGGTAGAGGTGGAGAATGTTACTGCCTCTAAAATTCTTATGGCTCTTTGGAAAAAGGGATCTAGAGCTGGGTATAGGAGGTTGTGTCGTTTGAACGTATCTGGATGCAAGGTTGGAACAATGAAGCGTCCAATCAAAAGGGTGCAGAAGATCGGCACTAGGAAAGCCCTCATGAAGAAGTTCAATGTTTTTGGATCGTCTCAGCATGGCTCAGGAGTTGGCGGAAAACCAATCATGAAGGTGGTAGGACCAAGGCCAGGTTTTCCAGCTGTACTCCAAGCACCAACTACTGATAGCACGTCGGGTGAAGGGAGCAGTCCCCAGGTACATGGCAATGTTCATGTAGACCACAATCGCCCTATGGACCGGTATGAGGCAGAGCGCTTGGAGAAGAGGAAGAAGGGCTTCTGCTATTGGTTCAGCAAGGGGAAAGATCGCTGCAAATTTGGTGAAGACTGCAAATTCATCCATTCAGAAGATGATGTGGTGCTACATTCGTATTGGTGCAAATACTATGTGGCAGGGAGAGACTGTTTCGCTGGAAAGGATTGTGCGTTCTCGCATGATGCAACTGGTGTGAGGTGCATCCAGTTTGCTCGGTCTGGGAAGTGTCGTTATGGTGACAGGTGTGTCTTCGAGCATGGTGTTCCGCTGGATGAACAGAGGCCAAGGTCTCCAAGGACGCCCCCAAGGGATGGTCCAAGGAGAAGTTCTGGTGCAAATGGTGGAGAAAAGGAGATCTCTCCTGAACAGTTCGATGATGGTGAGGAGTATTCCATGACCTATGACGATGACACCAAAATGTCGGAACTGTTGATGGAAGCGATTTCAATTCTTTCGAATGGCAAACCAGACTTGGCTCGAGCAGAGGCGGACCCACTGTTCAAACTCCTGAAGTTCAAGGGAGACGCTGACCAGATGGATAGAGAATGGGTTTCGTGGACCGACGATATGTTGTCCGTGCTGGAACTTCACGAAGTAGTGAAGTCGTATGACATTTCGCTCGAGGAGGTGGAAGAATGGGTCAATGACCTGAGGATATGGTTCGAGCGAGCCAACTTGGAAGAAGAAAAAGATCCCAAAAGGGGCAAGAAGAGGTCCCTGGAAAGGGAGTCCAGCAAAGATATTCCTGCCGAAAAGGAGGTGGTTGAGACTTCTGAGACGGAAGTTATCGTTGAGGAGGAGGCAAAAAAGGTTAAAAAGAAGAGGAAACCTGTGGTTATCGAAGATCCTTATACCCTCCTGGTTCCAAAGCCGAAGAAAATGCCGGCGACCATTGAGAAGAGTGGATCATCAACCAATGCGGCGGTTTCTGCAGGGGAAAAAGCCTCGAGAATGCGCGCAAAGTCAATCGTCGGTGGAAAGGCGAAGAAGAAGGAGAAAAGTCAGAGTCCCAAAAAGGGAGAAGTGGTGGTGGTGCAAGGTCCTGAAGAAAAGGATCGTCCTCCTGATGTGGATGAGCAAGCGTCGGCAGCTGTGAGTGCAGAGCTGGGTCAACCTTGCCAAGCGATTGAGGACGCGAAAAGAGAAGGACTGGTATCCTCAATTCAAAGGGGCGTACAGGATCCTGTTCTTACAGTTTCAGACCTGGAGTATATTCTGCTGCAACTTCACCTCAAGATTGCCAACAATCGGAAAAAGAAGTGATTGGATGGTATGGATGAAGGGATGGTTTTTCTCTTTCTGGAGACAGGTGCGCTGGAACAGCCAATGTGCTGACAAATGTGGTGGTTACTATTAAGGGTATGGAAATCCCTGATAGTAGAAGTCAGTAGCTTTTCGCGTAGCGAAGACCACGGTTTGTGGTGAAGAAGGCCAAGGAGTCTTCAGTGATGAGAGGATCATGGTGAAAAGATTCTCTATGGTTAGTGGATTTAGCCAATGGGCTATAATTTCGTCCTGGTAGACGTTAAACCATATTGTGCATGTCAAGCAGCAGGCTACTGCCCTAATGGCAGTTTTTGGCCAAAGATCTGCATCTCCAATGTGTCCTAGGAAATCCTAGGACAGGGGGAGTGCGGAGCTGCAACTGGTACTGTAAAAAGAGTTAGTGTTGGAAGTTGAAAGGGTTAATAAACCCGGAAATCATTTTTATGGCTCAAGACTGGGCCATGTGCCTGGTAGTAAAAGGTGAGTGCCCTGTGGTTTGGGTTTGTTGTGTGGTTGATCCAGGGAAATCAAGGGATTCTGTTGGGGTTGACTTTTCGGTTTCTCGTCCCCCTTCGGGTTCCCCCCGTATAGGGTTTGGGGCTTCGGGTTTAGGGTTTAGGGTTTAGGCCATTGGGATGTTCCCCCTTATACTAACAGTCCTCAATAGGGATTAAACATTTTCACGGGTACTGCAATTCTTGTTAAGGACTGTTAGTACAAGGGGGAGCATCCCCCAGGTTCTCTATTGCATATCGTTGGTATCGGGCTTAGGGTTACGGGAAATTGGGCTTACAAAGCTGCCGGCTACTCAGAAGGGTTCAGGGTTTCTCGGCCGCCCTCACCCTCGAAATCTAGGGAGGAGCCCTTGGGGTAACTCCCGGCGGCTGAGCTGCTGGGCAAGCTTTGCAGGCTTTTCCCTGGGACACTGCGCCTCCCGAGCACCTGAACAGTGATGGCCGGGCCACGCATGAGGCTTGGGGTGTGTGTCTTGTGGGTTTGGCGTTTAGGGTTTACACGGGGGCAAGGGTTTAAGCTCAGGGGCGGTAGGGTTTATAAAGAGTTTAGATAGGGTCTGTTTAGGATTTGCAGGGGGGGGGGGGGCAAAGGTTTAAGCTCGGGGGTTTGTTCAAGGCTTTGGAAGCAAGGCTGCCTCACCTGTCGTGGATGTTCAGCGTTCCTTGGGGATCTCGCAAGATGTGCCGCCTTTCTTCACGGTTATTTGGTCAGAAACAACATGCTAATTAGTGTCATTCCAGCTGCTCAACCCCAAGCCCCAATCCCTAAGCCCTGAGCCCCAAACCCCTCGTAGGAGTTTGTGAAGCGAATGGACGAGAGCGGCATTCGCAGGGCTGTGCCTGGGCATATTGCCAGGGCTGAGGGTCTCAGGATTTCGGGGCCTTGGAGGGTCGAAAGGTTTAAGCTTTTGAGGTTTTAAGGTTTTTGGGCTTTAGGGTTTTGGGTTTTTGGGGTTTCAGGTGTATGGTGTTACTGGCAGCTCAGGGTGGTGTTTGGTTTCATTTGACTTTGGGCTCAGAAGCAGCAGAGTATGCGTCCTCAGCTGAAGCTTGAATGTGGGACCCGAGAAGCACCGGGAATACCGTCCATGCCCTCGCGTGTCAGAACGGGAAACCATGCCAAGGTGGTGGTGCAGCCCATCAACTATGGCCAGGACCTGCGGCTTGCATGCTTACTGTTTTGCGGGGTTAGGGTTGAGGGTGCCCGGAATCCTTGAAACTCTCCACTCGGACGGCTTGGGATGTTTTCCCTAGTATACTTACAGGCTATAGTAGGGGGGGACTATAATCCCCATAAGGACTGTCAGCAAAAGGGGGAACATCTAGCGGACAGCCCGTGTGGCGCAGGACTACTCCTACCTCCTCGACGCCATGCGCGTGCACCCGTCCCGCCTCTTCGGCGTCTTTGTGGCCGACCCAGCTGTTGGGCCTGCGGCGGTTCCGTGGCTCTTCAGGGGCTGCAGGGGATTCAGGATTTGGGGTTGAATCGGGGTCAACGCATAGTTATACGTCGGGTGAGAAGAGCCTCAAGAAAGCGTACGCCCTAATCCCCCTAGAAAGACCCCCCACATCCCCCAAAACCCTAAACCCCTGCAAAACCCCCAAAGTCTTCAAGGAGGAGTGGCTGGAGAGGTTGGCATCCAGCTCCAAGCAGTGGGTGGGGGTGCGCTTCAACCCGTACAAGTGGCCTGCAGGCGCTGGGGGTGTTTAGGGGCCTTGGAGTTGGGGGTGTATTTTGGTGAGTCGGGGGTTTGGGAACTTGCTTCAGATTCCACCAACAGGCGTTGCGTTCATTTTTTGGACGGGATGGAGGGGCAGCAGCGGCCTCCTCTCCCCCGCAGCTGCGAATCGAAACTCAAAGTCTCGGGGCCCAGGCCCTCTGGACCCTGATCCCTAAACCCGATGAATCTCTCAAGTTTCAGGAGGTGTCGGGGCTGGCTTATGCCATGTGTACCCTAAACCCTAAAACCTAAAACCTAAAACCCTAAACCCTAAACCTTAAACCCTAAAGCCCTAAAACCCTAAACCCTAAACCCCTAAAACCCTAAACCTTAAAACCCTCAACCCCTAAACCCTTAACCCCAAACCCCAAACCCTAACACCCTAATCCCTCAACCCTTTCAGGCCAGAGCATGGCCGACGACACCGGCAAGGCGCTCTTCCGTAAGGCTGGCGAGCTGAGCCTGCCCGTGGGCTTGGACCGCAAAAAGGAAACGATTCTGGCGTTTGGGTTATATTGGTTGGTGGTCTCTCTAAGTAAAGTTTCTGTTTTGTAGGGGGTTTCTTATTAGGGTGTCTAGGGGCCATATTAGGTATAAGGGTAACAGATAAAGAGACCACCGGCCTTTACAAGGTTTAGGGTTTAGGATTTAGAGGGTTTAGGGTTTAGGGTTTAAAGTCTAGGGTTTAGGGTTATCCGGTTTAGGGTTTCGGGTCTAGGGTGTAAGGGTCTGGGATTTGGAGCTAGGGCTTAGGGTTTAGAGCCTAGGGTTTGGGGTCTAAGGGTGTTTAGGCTTTGGGGGGTGTTCTTGCGTTGTCAGGTCTTCTTTCGGATTCTGGGGTTCGGGGGGTCTCGGGGTTTAGGATGTAGTTTGTTTTATGTATTTCTTTCTCTCTTTCTCTCTTTCTCTCTTTCTCTCTTTCTCTCTTTCTCTCTTTCTCTCTTTCTCTCTTTCTCTCTTTCTCTCTTTCTCTCTTTCTCTCTTTCTCTCTTTCTCTCTTTCTCTCTCTCTCTCTCTCTCTCTCTCTCTCTCTCTTTCTCTCCGAAAGCCACTTTCGCAAGTTGAGATGAACAAGCCTAAGCCCTACACCGACCACAAGCCCTGAACCCGAAGCCCGAAACCCGAAACTCTACCCACACCCGAGATCCGTGCCCCTGTGCTTTAGGTGGGCTTCATGCCGTTCAAAGGTCTGAGCCAGCACGTGGAGGACAGCTGAGGATATCAACCCGAGCTGGCTGTTGAAACCTTCTGGAATCATAAGCCATGAGCACCCTAAACCCTAAACCCTACACCCTAAACCCTAACCCCAAGCCCTAAACCCCAGACCCCAAACCCCAAACCCTAAAGCCGAGCTGACTTGAAGGCTTCGTCAGCCCGTCGTCTTAAGCGCTTAAGCATTCCCTTTGACCTGAGTGTGGGCCGGGGGGGCGTCTTGAGCCCCACGTGTTATACTTTTGGGGTCGATCTAGAGTAAACGCTGTAACCGGAACCATGGTTGCCACAGCAACTCTGTTTCAGGAACTTGTTTCAGGAACTACGCCAAAGCTGTACCAGGAACTGATGGAGGGTTGTACAGTTCCTGCTTCGGGTGCCCACTCGTTCTTGCTACGTCTTGGTCAGCTCCTGAAACGCGATTCCCGTTGTGTGGCGCGCTGGTTCCTGTTGCGCTGGTGATGGCTTAAGCGTTTGCGTGGCCATTCCGAAGATATGGCACAAACAGAAGCGAAGGCACTTAAATATGAGGAGGCGGGGAACGCTTTCTCCCCATTATTGAGTAGGCTCGACACAAATACCCTAAACCCTAAACCCTAAACCCTAAACCCTAAACCCTAAAACCCTAAACAGTAGCCTTCAAACCCTAGGCCCTAGAAGTCCCTTTCTTCGTGAAGCCCCAAATCGCAGGACATCGAGGCGCTGATGAAGAGCTCGCCCTCGACGCAGGCGGGCTTAAGGGGGGCTTATCGGTTTTCAGCTCAGTCAGGGGACTAAAGGAGGGACCCTTGTAAGGGATTTTAGGGGGTACTAATGGGTTATTTAGGGGCTACTTAGGTATATAGGGACTATATAAGGTTTGTATACGGGTTATATCGGGGAATAAGACTAAGGGTGTCCCTCCAATTAGCCCTCAGGTCCTACACCCCCACAATGTGGCAGTCGGAGCCCCCAACCCCTAAACCTGTTAACCCCTAAGCCCCATAGGTGGGACAAGTACCCCACAAGGGTGATTGCCGGCTGTAGCTGTAGTTATTCCGTTCCTTGCCCTGTAACTTACGACGAAACCCTGCAAACCCTCAACTCCTAAACCTGTTGAACTCAAGCCGCAAAGGCCCCAGACTAAGCCCGAAAGCCGAAAGCCCTGAACCCTAAACCCAACACACCAGGTCATCATCGATCACTGGGGCTTCTTCCTGCAGCCTGCCACTGGCTTCGGCGAGCGCGCGCTGGACGAAGCAAGCTGGGAGGCGCTGCTGCGGCTCAGCAGCTACCCGCAGGCGCGGAGGTTTGTGGGTATTCGGCGGAGGGGGGGGGGGTTTAGCCTCACTGAGCCCTATGAACTCTATAGACCCTGTAAACTCGATACATCCTATAAACCCTATAAAACGTATGAAGGCTATACACCGTATGTGAAGCCCTCAAAGCCCGATTAAACCCTTTCTTGGGGACAGGTTCCCGGTTTAGAGCCCAGGGCTTCATAGCTTTAAGTTTCGGAGTTTGAACGCGACAGAAACCTCGAATGAAGCAACCCTAACCCCAAACCCTGAACCCTGAACCCTAAACCCCAAACCCTGAACCCCAGATCCTAGACCCTAAACCCTACACTTCCAAAGACAAAAGCAGGGGGGCCACGGCCTCTCAGGTCCACGTGAAGATCTCGGCGCTCTTCCGGGTCTCCCAGGGCAAAAGCCCCTTCCCGGAACTCTCGGAGCGCTTGCAGCGGCTCTGGCTGAGTGCCCTTAAACACTAAAACCCTAAACCCTAAACCCTAAACCCTAAACTTTAAACCCTAAACCCTAAACATCCTACAAATCCTACAAATCCTACAAATCCTACAAACCCGAAACCCTACAAGCCCGATACCCTAAACCCTAAACCCTAAAACGCTAGAACCCTAAACCGCCCCAAGCCGCAGGGGCAGAGTTTGGGAGCTTTGGGTTCTGGGGGAGCTTTCGGGAGGCTTCGGGAATCATCGGGAAAGGTTTGGAGGAGCTTTACAGGAATTCTTTCATGAGGCTTCGGGAATCATCGGGAAAGGTTTCAAACAGCTTCAAACAGCTTTGCAGGATTTTTTTTCGCGGAGTTTGGGGAGTTTAAGGGTAGCTTGGAGCTAAACCCTAAACCCTAAAACCCCAAACCCCTAGACCCCAAACCCCAAACCGGAACCAGGCAGCTGCTGTCGACCTTTGGCTCGGCTCGGCTCCTCTGGGGCTCGGACTTCCCGTGCCCTCTGCGCAAGAAAACTAAACCCCCCAACCCCCCCGAAAAACCCCCAAAAAACCCCCAAAAAACCCCCCAAAACCCCCAAAAAATTCCAAAAAACCCCCAAAAAACCCCCAAAAAACCCCCCCAAAACCCCCCCAAAACCCCCCCAAACCCCCCCAAATACCCCCTAAACCCCTACACCCCTAGACCTTTGAACCCTAAACCTCTAAACCCTAAACCCAAAACCCTCCTGCACCCTGAGCTTGGAGCCTTTAGGCGGGGAGTTGGGTGATGGTCCAGCTTCGTGATGCGCTTGGAGAGGGCGGGGGACTTACGAGTAGGGTTTAGGGTTGTTTAGGGTTTAGGGTTTAGGGTTTAGGGTTTAGGGCTTCGGGTTTAGGGTTTAGGGTTTAGGGCTCCTAAACCCTCAGCTCCCTCAGCAGCGCAGGTACGCCACGGAGCACACGACCTACGCGGAGGCGGTCTTGGCCCCGGAGTCCTGGCCCGCCTGGGCCGAGATGTCCGAGGAGGAGGGGGCCCTTCAGGGTTTTTATTTTGGGTTTAGGGTTTAGGGTTTAGGGTTTAGGGTTTAGGGTTTAGGGTTTAGGGTTTAGGGTTTAGGGTTTAGGGTTTAGGGTTTAGGCTTTAGAGTTTAGGGTGGGCCCTTTTGGGATTTTTTTTTGGGGGGGGGTTCAAGGGCTTCGGGTTTTGAGGGGTTTACTTTGGGGATTTGGGGGGGGCGGGGGGGTTTAAACGTTTTGGGGCTTTAGGGTTTTGGGGCTTTCCAAAAATCCTATAGCCCTTGTCAACGTCTATGGTGACTCTGAAATCCTCCGGCGCTTGTGGAAGCCGTGTTGACTCCTCAACTTACCGCAACCGGAGGAACCCTAAACCCTAAACCCTAAACCCTAAACCCGAAACCCCAAGAAGGGCCCATAATTCAAGTTCACCCCAAGCAGAACACGAGGACCGCACAAACTTGGTCCACGACACGGCCGCGAAGCTCTATGGGCTTCCCCTGGCGCGCGAGGGCGAGCTCTGAGACGTGCTTCTAAGCCCTAATCTTGGGATGTTCCCCTTATACGAAAAGTCCACAACAGGGAATAGAATAGGGCGTACTATGATCCGTATTGAGGACTGCTAGGAGAAGGGGAGCATCCCAGCCCTAAACCCTCAACCCTGTACCCCTCCTGTTGTAGGGTGCTTAGTTTTAGGGACGGTTTTAGGGTTGAGGGTGACAACCTTCGAAAGGAGCCTCCCACTGCGCCGCTATCGGTTGAAAAGAGGCTTGCTTTTGTCCCCCGAGCCATTGGGAGCCCAACCAACCCCAAACCCTAAACCCTAAACCCTAAACCCTAAACTCACAATGCTTGATGACATAATTTCCAGATTGGCCAGAAATGAGGATGTGGTTTGACCCGCACTTACCTGCCAAAATTAACAGTATCACCTGAAGCGCGTTCCTGCGCAAGTAGCATTCTTGAGAGTGTACAAACCACTCCTGTATCACCTTCGACGTAACAGACTTCGGTCCGATTCAACCCTAAACCCCAAACCCCAAACCCCAAACCCCAAACCCCAAACCCCAAACCCCAAACCCCAAACCCCAAACCCCAAACCCCAAACCCTAAACCCTAAACCCTGAACCTTAAACCCTAAACCCTAAACCCTAAACCCTAAAGCCTAAACCCTAAACCCAAACCCTAAACCCTAAACTACCCTAAACTACCCTAAACTACCCTAAACTACCCTAAACTACCCTAAACTACCCTAAACTACCCTAAACTACCCTAAACTACCCTAAACTTCCCTAAACTTCCTAAACTTCCCTAAACTTCCCTAAACTCTAAATCTCAACCCTAGACTTCCCTAAGCCCTCTCCCCTCTGCCCGAGAAACCCTGAACCCGAAACCCTAAACCCTAAACCGCGAACGATGACTCCCATGACAGCTGGGAACTCCCCACACCATCAAGAGGCTGAGCAAAGCATTCTGAAGCCACGACCACGGAGCCTTCAAAGCACCCTCAGCCCTAAATTCCCAAAACCCTAAACCCGAAACCCTAAACCCTAAACCCCAGAACCCTCAAACCCTAGGCCCAAATCCCGTGCATCCTCAGCCCCGGAGCCCTAAACCCTAAACCCTAAACCCTAAACCCTAAACCCTAAACCCCGGGGCGTTCCCTATCTCCGAGGCCGCATCGAGATGCGCGGCTGGCAGACGGTCGCGCAGCAGAGCTGCGCAGAGGCGGGCGGGCTTTGGGTTGAGGGTTTAGGGTTTAGGGTTGAGGGTTGAGGGTTGAGGGTTTAGGGTTTAGGGTTGGGTTTTCGAGGGGTATTTTGGGCTTTTAGGGGTTGAGGGATGAAGGCGTCGGGTTTGGGGATTTAAGGGTCGGAGATGGCTTTAGGACTTCAGGGCTTTGAAGGGGTGCAGGGAGCTGAAGCTGCTTAGGGCTCGGCTCGATGTAGGGTTGAGGGTTTAGGGTTTAGGGTTTCGGGTTGGCGGGGGGTTTGGGGTTCTAGGGTTTCGGGTTGGAGGTTCGGGGGGTCGTGGGCATAGAGGCTTCGAAAAGGTTCGAAGGGTCGCATGTGTTGAGTTTTGGGGGTGCAGGGTAGGGATCCAGGGTCCTCACGTCTCCTTCAGGCTGCGAGTAGGGTTGAGGGTGTTAGAGACCTGGAGGTTCATATGGATCGTCATAAGCTTATAAGTGCTCTCTAACCAGGGTTATGGCAATAGTTACCATACTTCTCGCCCTTTTTAAGCCTTTTTATGTCTGCAATCTCGTAGCAAACATCTGGTCAGAATAGCTGGTTCTTGTTAAGGAGCTTAAGTTAACTACGTTTCCTCAGTACGGTTATATCGCAAATCATAGAGTGCCCTTTATGTTTTGGCAACTGGGTTTAAGTTCCTCCACAATCACTCAGAAGATAGTTGGTGTGCGTGAACCCAGTTGACTTCGCTTCAGTTACCATGATAAGGGTACTTCGGGTTTAGGGGTTTTTTGCTCTTCGACACACGCGGCCCGGAGGAGAGCCTTAAACCCCTGAAGCCTTCAGCCCTAAGCCGCACGGTTCTGCAGTGGCAGTTCCTGGGAAGGAGATCGTCTGGATGAACCGGGAACGCACGCGAGAAGTGCGCTGGTCATGCTGGCTCAGCGTTGTACGAAGCTTTGTCGACACGAAGCCCTGAGCCATCAGCTCTCAAGCCCTAAAAATCCAGAAGCAGCGGGAGCTTCTGATTCCTCCATTCAAGAAAAATCTAGACCACAGACCGTAAATCGCACGCCCTGAGCCTTCCTTCAACCTTGAAGCCAAAACCCAAAGGCGAGCAACACTGCCTCGATCGAGCAGTTCCGCCTTGCAGATAACGTGTCTCCTGCAAGCCCAAAGCCCCTTAAATTCCAAAGAGCCCAATAAACCCCAAACCTGAAACTCCGAAGTTAATGACTCCTCCCTGGGACTGCCGGATTGCTAGGACCAAAACAATGCGGGTGTAACTTTTCGCGATGCTATGGCTCCCCCCCCCCCCCTAACAAAAAGAGGGGGAACATGGTAGGTACCACGCGGCAATGCATAAGTTCCGAATGACCGTACCCATGACCTACTTGGGGATGCCCTTGATTGAGGCTCGACACTTGCGTCTATATCCCCTTGGGAATTAGTTATATGTATATATATATATATATATATATCTATATTTGTTGATATAAAACCCAAGAGGAAATTAGGAATAGTTTTTTTATTGAGGTTCTAAGGGGAGTAGAAGCGTGCGCCCCGCTTCGGGTTGAGTTTTTTTGTTGCCAGGATGCTCGAGGAGGATGCCGATCAGCCGCCCCTCCTGGAAGGGCTTGACAGCAGGACATGAAAACCCTCAACTTATAGGGTTCTTAAGTTCCCTTAGGGTTTAGGGTTTAGGGTGTAGGGTTTAGGGTTTAGGGTTTAGGGTCTACCCCCCTTGAACCCCCCCTCCCGCAAGAACTTGCTAATAGACCCCAGACCCCTACTGCACTTGCCCTTTCTAGAAGGCAGGATCACACATGGGCGCTGGGGCGCCACTTCGTAGAACTTGGTACTTGACAGGTCGCAAGCCTTAATCCTAAAAGGAGAATGGATTCCAAGCTGTTGTCACAGAGTCTTGCGAGCGAGTGAGGCCGTTTCAACGTTGGAGTGCCGCGATGGCAGCGTTTAGGGCTCATGGGTATCCCAAGGCCCTAAGCCCCCCTGCATGGCCCTGAATGCAAACGCCATGCGGGCGAGGAACATCATCCAGGGAAAGCGCAAGCGCGCCAAGGCGTCTTGGCAGTTGCTCAGGTCTTGCGCCTCAGGGTTAGGGGTTTTAGGGGTTTAGGGCCCTTGTGATGGTCCTGTGTATTGCTTCTAATTTCGGGTTCTGGGGTTTGAGGGTTTTAGGGGTTTTATGGGTTCTAAGAGCTTTAAGGATTTTAAGGGCTTTAAGGGCGTTAAGGGCTTTAAAGGGTTTGTTTGGGTGTAGGGTTTATGGGGGTGGGTTTGGGTCTAGGAAGCTCAGCGGTCCACATTGCTTCTTTTGTAGCTTACTGGCCTAGATGCAGGTGTGGTTAGTGTTTCGACACTTCAAAACCCTAAAGCCTGCCTAAGCCCTAAGCCCTAAGCCCTAATCCCCACGGCAACGTGCATATGGCCATCACCGCACTGAACCAGGCGAAGAACCAGCTGCGCAAACCTTCCGGGTATACTCTAAGCCCTAAGCCCGAAGCCCTAAGTCGTAAGACTAAGCCCTAAGTCCTAAGCCCCAAGCCCCAAAGACCAATTTTTCAACCGTAAACCCTCCAAACCTAAACCCCCAAACCCCAATTAAGGCATGCCCCCAAGCCCCACCCTAAACCCTAAACCCTAAACCCTAAACCCTAAACCCTAAACCCTAAACCCTAAACCCTAAACCCTAAACCCTAAACCCTAAACCCTAAAGGTCGACTACCGCGCCGTGGCGCGCGAGATCGAGGCAGAGGAGCGGCGCCGCCAGGCGCCGGGGGCTGGGGGGGTGGGGGTTTTGGGGCTTGGGGTTTAGGGTTTAGGGTTTGGGGTTTAGGGTTTAGGGTTTAGGGTTTAGGCAAAGTTTCGCGTTTAGGGTTTAGGGGTTTTGGGTTCACGGCTTCGTGGGACTTAGGGTTTAGGGGTTACCGGGATATGGGGTTTGGAGTTCACGGCTTCATAGGTCGAGGGTTTAGGGGGGGGGGGGGGGGTTTTTCGGGGGTTTCGGAACCCTAAACCCTAAACCCCAAACCCCAAACCCTAAATCCTAAACCCTAAACCCTAAACCCGAGCTTCAGGGGCTGTGGGGGTGGTGAATTGGGCTCTAGGAGATCCGAGCCGAGGGATGCGCGTTGGGCTTCAGGGTTGCAAAAATTGTAAGGTCTTTAGGGGTTTAGGGTTTAGGGTTTGGGGTTTAGGGTTTAGGGTTTAGGGTGTAGTGCTTGAGGGGTTTAGGGTGGCTTCCGGTTTCGGGCCCAGTTCCGAAGATTAAGGACGCGATAGGTTGCCAGGGCCTATATTTGGTACTGGGCTTCCGGCCGAAAACCCCCACAATCCACAACCCTTCTCTGGTTTTAGGGTTTAGGGTTTGGGTTAGGGTTTAGGGTTTAGGGTTTAGGAGTTAGGGGTTAGGGGTTAGGGTTTAGGGTTTTAGGGTTTAGGGTTTAGGGTTTTCGGGTTTGGGTTGTAGGCGGAAGACCAGAACCTAAGCCCAAGATCCTGGGTTCGACAGTTGCGCAGCACCTGCCAAAGCCCGGAGGGAGTCTTCTCCGATGGCTCCGATGGATCTCAAGGTCGCATCCCACCCCAGGGTTTAGGGTTTAGGGTTTAGGGTTTAGGGTTTAGGGTTTAGGGTTTAGGGTTTAGGGTTTAGGGTTTAGGGTCTAGGGGCTCCGAGCTCCGAATCTCCCACCCAAAATATTCAGGGACCTTGCAGGAATAACGCGGTGAGGACCAGGGGAGCCTGATGCAAAACAAGCCCAAGTGGCAGCTTAGACACGAAGCGTCCAGAAACTAAAAGCGCTGCAAGTCGCTGGTTTAGGGTTTAGGGTTTTAGGGTTGAGGGGTTGAGGGGTTTAGGGTTTAGGGTTTTAGGGTTTTAGGGTTTTAGGGTTGAGGGGTTTAGGGGTTTAGCTCTGGCTCGCTGTCAGCTGTGATTGGGTGGCTGCGTTCAGCTGACCAATGCTCGCTGCTTCACCTTAAACCCTAAACCCTAAACCCCGAAACCCCAAATCCCAGGGCTCTCACAAGGCCAACCCATCAAGTTTAGGGTATTGAGGACTGTCCTGCATTCGGGTTTAGGGTTTAGGGTTTCGGACTGCGAATTGCGGGTTTCTATAAACGTCCTTCAAGGCGAGAAGCTTGCTCGTGGCACTTTGACAATCCCGCACTCGAGAAACAGAGGCTGCAAAACGATGCCCGGTTTGCCTGTCGAGTCCAGACGTGCGATGTGGCAGGTTTCTTTTTTGTACTCCCCACTACGGCTCCCTAAGCTTTTCTAAGATTCCCTGGCCCCCATGAACCCCCCTCCTTTATGGACCCTGTACTTTTTTCAAGGGCTGTTAGGGTTCTTCGTGCTGTTAGGATATAGTGTTGGGGTTCCGTAGCTGTGCTGGACTAGACCCAGGGTTCACGTGCAAGCGAGCGAAGTCGACTGACCCAGCGGAAACCCTCAAAATCCCAAGGGTTTAGGTACAGGGTTCATAAGTTCCTAAGCCCTTGACCCCAAATTGGAATTCCATAAAACTTAACAGCTGGCATAGCGGCCTCAGTAGTTGGCACTATCCCCCCAAATCCCTGCAGATTTCTAGTTTAAAGTACACCCAAATTTTGATTCCGATTCAGTAGGCCTTTGGACCCTAAACCCCAAACCCCAAACACTAAACCTTAAACCCTGAACCCTCAACTCGTAGACCCTAAACCCTAAACCCTAAACCCTAAACCCTAAACCCTAAACCCTAAACCCTAAACCCTCAACCCACATTGCTCGAAGCCCATGGCTGCGGTTTGGAGGTGAAGAGGCCATCGAAACCATGACTCCGAAGGACTCTCCGAGGGTTTAGGTACATTTTCGGGTTCAGGGTCTTAGGGTTCTAGGGTTTAGGGTTTAGGGTTTAGGGTTTAGGGTCTTAGGGTTCTAGGGTTTGGGGGTTAGGGTCTTAGGGTTCTAGGGTTTGAGGGATTTAGGGGTCAGGGTTCGGAGGTGCTGCACTTCTGCTGAAGCCCCTCAAACCCAAACACGAAACTCTTAGAACACCGACTACGAAAACAGGATACAGCGGTGTGAAAGGTTGAAGTGAGCCATCTACCGTAGTTTGTGTTGCTCAAGATCATGATGTTCTTAGTTATCCACGAGGCCAACTGGGAGCTTCCAAACGTTAGGGTCACCTTTACTCCCAATGTAGAGAAGAATCTCCTTCAAAAGGACCGGAACACCCACGACCCCCCCCCCAGGCCTTCCAAACACTCAACTCGACCGTTTTTGGTATTTAGAGCTTAGGGTTTAGAGTTTAGGGTTTGGGGTTTAGGGTTTAGGAATTGCTTAGTGTTTGGCGTACTTCCTCTTCTGGGGGACTGGCACAAATGTGCGCTTTTTCGGGTTCCAAGACGGCGGACTACGCCCCCTCGGCCTAAACCCCAAAGGCTAAAGCCTGAGCCCAAACAAACCCTAAACCCTGAACACCAAACCCCAAACCCGAAACCGCAAACCCGGAGCCCCAAACACCAAACACCAAGTCCCAAACACTACGCCCGGAACCCCGAAATCCAAAGCCCCAAACCCCAAACCCTATCAGCCCCTATCAGCCCCCCTGGTTCTTAGCGGGGAATGAGGGAATGAGGGCCCTATATATACCCTTTAAGGGACTCTATAGAGCCTTCCTTCCCTCCTTCCCTACTCAGAACCAGCCAGTCATTCTCTCAGCAAAATCCTTGCAGAGGAGTGGTCCGCCATGCATGCGTCGCAGTGCGCGAAGGCAGCGCACCTAGCCTCGGTTAGGGATTAGGGTTTAGGGTTTAGGGTTTAGGGTTTAGTGTTTAGGGTTTAGGGTTTAGGGTTTAGGGTTTAGGGTTTAGGGTTCAGGGTTTCGGGTTGAGGGTTTAGGGGTGTTCTGGGCGCTTCAAGGGTGCTTCGGCTTGGGATGCCCAAGATGCGGGCACGCTTCGTTGCGGCCTTGGGGCCCGTGATCCGGCAAACTAGGGAAAGGCCGTATGTTCAGAGCCTTTTATCCAAACATGTCTGCTTAAAATGGGCCGTTTCGATTGAATTCAAATTGAAGCCTCTGAACCTCCGATGTTTCCAAACCATTTCAAAAAAGGGTTGTTGTTTTTTTTTTTTTTTTTGGGGGGGGGGGAATATGCCGCAGGAGTTGCGCCAGCTGCGTTGGCGAACTCTAAGAGAACCCTAAACCCTAAACCCTAAACCCTGAACCCTGAACCCTAAACCCTAAACCTGGCTCGGTTTAAGGGAGTGTGAGTGGAGGCGCAGCCCTACACGTGGAATCCCACCCTGGGCCCGAAGTCCTCGCTTCCGAATGGGGAGGCCACGAAGCTCTTCCACCAGTGGATGCTGTCGACGTGTACTCCCAGGATCGGCTTGGGCGGGCTGGGGTTTGAGGTTTAAGGTTTAAGGTTTGAGGTTTGAGGTTTGAGGTTTAAGGTTTAAGGTTTAAGGTGCAAGGTTTAGGGTTTAGGGTTTAGGTTTAGGGTTTAGGGTTTAGGGTTTAGGGTCGGAAATAATTATTTATAGTGTTCCCTTATGGTCCCTTTATAAATTTACCATAATGAACCCCCTTCTAATTGTTCAGGCCCCTGTCTCAGGGCCCTTCGTCTACTTGAAGGTTCAAGTTCTGGCCAGTTGTATTGGTAGCTTCTGCAGGTTGCAGAGACTGCGGGGTTTAGGATTCCGAGTTCGGCTTTGTGCTCTTTTAGGACTGCCAGGTTTGCTAAACCCTAAACCCTAAACCCTAAACCCTAAACCCTAAACCCTAAACCCTAAACCCTAAACCCTAAACCCTAAACCCTAAACCCTAAACCCTAAACCCTAAACCCTAAACCCTAAACGCTGTACAGCGACCGGGGGCTAGAGGCATGACGAGCTCCTCAAGCGCAAGGGCAAGCTGGTAACCCGGCTTCCTGCCCGGGGCCCTTTGTCTGCTGGGGAGAGTGGGGTTTAGGGTTTAGGGTTTAGGGTTTAGGGTTTAGGGTTTAGGGTTTAGGGTTGGGGAAGGGTTTGGGGTTTGCGCCCTGGCACCCTAGAAGCCCTAAACCTGGAGTCCTATGTGCATTCTTCACACTCTCAGACCAGGGGATTTTGAAGGGGCGTCTTCCCCGGGTTCAAGACCAAAACCCTAAACTCTAAACCCTAAAAGCCCTAGACGCCAAAACCTCAAACCCCAACACTTAGACTACTCAAACCCTAAACTCTAAACCCGAAACACCCTGGACCCCAAACACCCCAACGCTTAGAACAGGCAGAGCCCTGAAGCCCCAAGGGCTGAAGCCCACCCCAAAGAAAGAAAACCCCAAAAGACCAACAGGGAACCAGGGCCTTGCCCCAACTCGCAAAAGGTTTAGGGTTTAGGGTTTAGGGTTTAGGGTTTGGGGTTTAGGGTTTAGGGTTTAGGGTTTAGGGCTTAGGGTTTGGGGTCGCCGCCTCTGCGCTTTTGTGCGTTGCGCACGCCTGTGCCTGTGCCCAGGTGTCGCTGATTGGGCCGGGCCGGATCCTATTGCAGAAGGCTTTCCGCTCTTCCGTCTTTGGGGTGGTGTTCTTCGGTTTGTTGTGAGAAAGGCTCCGAAGTTTAGGACTTGTGGATAACCCCAAACCCTAAACACTAAACCCTAAACCCTAAACCCTAAACCCTAAACCCTAAACCCTAAACCCTAAACCCTAAACCTAAACCCTGATTCGAGGGGCTGGCCTCCTATGGCATCACCCTGAACTTCCACGCCCAGGACTGCACGTGTGCCCTCCAGGTTGGAGGCTGCAGGATATTGATACCATTCTTTTTCTTCTTCTCCTCGTTAGTATTTTTGTTTGTGTGTTTTTTTGGTCGTCTTTTGTTATGATGATGATGATGAATATTATTACTGTTATTATGATTATGATTATGATTATGATTATGATTATGATGATTATTATTATTATCATTTTTTTTGCGGGGGGAGGGTTGGGGGTTTCCGGTATTTTCGGGTAAAATGGTGTATTTCGGTAGTTTGGGGGAGGGGGGTGTTGGGGTATTTAGGGCCTTGAGGGTGCAGGAGGGCTCTTGGGGGCATCTTTGGCCTGACTTGGGGGGATTTTCTTGGAGGTCCAAGGAGAGTTCTACTCTAGGGTTTAGGGTTCATAAGTACCCCAAATGAGGGCAACAAGTAGCTACAGCTTTTGTTTCAGACCCGAAGCCCTACACCCTAAGTGGGCGCCAAGACAGGAGACCACGGTCGCTGTGGACGCCACAGCGCGCCAGCGCTACCAGGTGCGACGTCGCCCCTCAACCCCTCAGAAGCCCTAAAGCGCCATGAAACACCCTACAAAAGCCCTGCAACCCTACTCAGGGTCTTAGGGCATGTTTTGAGAGGGCCGAAGCCCTAATTCCCCAACCCTGGCCCTGAAGCCTCGTCTGCACGCCGTAAAGCCCTTTAAGACATCAAGACGCTGAAGCCCTGAAGCGAAGCCCTGAAAGCACGGAAGCCCCGAAAGCCCTCAAGCCCCGAAAGCTCTGGAGCCCTGAAGCCCGAAAGCACTTAAAACCCTCCACAAGCCCCTGATTTCCCTGACCCCCGCTCGAATCCCTCCAGGCGCGGCATGTTGCCGAGTGGCAGGCCGCCAAAGCGAAGCTGGCGTCCAAGCCGCCGGCGCGGGACCCTCAGGCGGGGCGTATTGGGTTGGGGTTTGAAGGTCGGGGGTGTTGCGGGGTTGAGGTTCAGCGTCTTGGGGGTTGAGGGTTTGAAGGTTTGAGGGTTCGAGAGTTGTAGGGGTTTTAGGGTTGTAGGGGTTTTAGGGTTGTAGGGTTTTAGGGTTGTAGGGGTTTGGGGTTGGGGTCTGACCGTTTCCCCTAAACCTAAACCTGAACCTTCTAGCTCATCGGAGCCGCTACCCAGCAAATACCCTTTCCCACTGAGTAGATCCCTAAGTCCCTAAGTCCCTAAGTCCCTAAGTCCCTAAGTCCCTAAGTCCCTAAGTCCCTAAGCCCTAAACCCTAAGCCCTAAACCCTAAGCCCTAAACCCTAAACCCTAAACCCTAAACCCTAAACCCTAAGCCCTAAACCCTAAACCCTAAACCCTAAACTGAGCACCGGGCAGGCCCGGCCGACGTTGCGACTGGATGCCCCTGCGCCGGAGCCCTCAGGCCAAGAAGATTCCAAGGACTGGGTTCAGGGTCTGGGGAGCTTGGGGGGTTTTAGGGTTTATTTTTCTTCCCCACCCTCTGTGTGGGGTTGTTAGATTTAAACCTCAACTCTTCTCCTCGCCCGGAACTCTTCTCCTCACCCGGAACTCTTCTCCTCGCCCGGTCTACTCCTCACTCATCCCTGGAGTGCCCAACCCAAAATGTCCCTGGAGCGCCCAACTCTAGAGTGTCCCTGGAGTGCCCAGCCCCAGAGTCTTGCCCAGCCCCAGAGTCTCCCAGGAGTGCCCAACCCCAGAGAGTCTCGTGAGATGTGCCCGGAGTGCCCAGCCCCAGAGTGTCCCTGGAGTGCCCAACCCTAGAGTATCTCTACCAAGAGAGGGTGGGGATGTTCGAAGTAAAATAACTTTAATCGTTTTTTAAGGGAGTGTTAAGGTTTTTAAGAGCTTTCGGTTTCAGGGTTTAGGTTTTGAGGTTTGGGGTTTAGCTTTCGGTTGAGGGTTCAGAGCTGGGTGGGGGTTGTGGGTGGGTCCCCCGAGTGTTGAAACCCTAAACCCTAAACCTTCTAATCCTCCGAAACTCCGTAAGCTTCCTAAACTAACTGAACCCATTAAACATGCAATTTCCGTTTTGTTGTTGGACTCTTCGAGTTTAGGGTGTTGAGCGGGTTTAGGGTTTAGGGTTTCGTGTTGGGGGCTCAAGGTCTAGGATTTCGGGTTTAGGGGCCTCTTTCGGCTTTCGGCCTCTAGGCGTGAAGCTTGCAGTGGTGCCCTCTCTTCTGCTCTTTTGCGGTCTGGGGGCAACCACATGAAGGCAAAAAACCCGGGTTTCCTAAACCTGAAACCCTAAACCCTAAACCCTAAACCCTAAACCCTAAACCCTAAACCCTAAACCCTAAACCCTAAACCCTAAACCCTAAACCCTAAACCCTAAACCCTAAACCCTAAACCCTATACCCTATACCCTATACCCTATACCCTATACCCTATACCCTGAACCCTGAACCCTGAACCCTAAACCCTAAACCCTACACCCAGCAGTGTGAGGAGCCGGAGTCCGGAAACACGCCGCGCCGGAAGCGACTTCGCCGAATCGCGCCTTGCCTGAAGGATGCCTCTGACGCTTTCTGGGTTGCCCTAAACCCTAAACCCTAAAGCCTAAAGCCTAAAGCCTAAACCCTAAACCCTAAACCCTAAACCGGTGCCTCTCAGGTTGATCCCCGAACGGGTGCCTCTCAGGTTGATGGTTTCATGGATTGAAGCTTCAGCTCTGGTAGGGAGTTTCGGACCCTAGACCCTGAGCCCTAAACCCTAAACCATGGTGTTCGGGTTCTGCCTTACAGGGCTTGTAGGGCGACAGGGTCTCGGGTTCAGGGTCTAGGTCTGACAGGGCTTCTGGGATTTTTGTCGACGGGCTTCTGCGGGCTTGCAGGGCGGCTTCAGGGTTCTCAGGGCTTCGGCTGCTGAAGGTGTGCCCGGCATTTGAGGTGAGCTGCTTCTTAGGTTTTAGGGCTTTCTTGGGGTCGAGGGTCCTTGGGCTCAGGGCTACAAAAGGTTAACGCCCGCCTTGCTCGTGATTTTGGAGTGGAGGTGGACTCGGACGAGGAGGCGCCCGTGGCCCCTGAAGCCAAGGCAGGTAACACCCCCAAACCCCCCAAGCCCCAGCCCCTCTGAACCTTCAGAGCCTCAAGCTTCGCAGCCCGAAGCCCTTAACCCCTAAACCCTAATCCAAGCCCTAAAACCCTAAACCCGATACAAAGCCCCAAACCCTATCAGCCAACGCCCGAAACCCTGAACCTCCACGGCCCCCCAACTAGGTTCCGGCTTCGGTTTCAGGGTGTAGGCGGTCTAGGGGTTTAGGGGTTTGCGGATTTAGGGTTCGGGGTTCAGGGTTTAGGTTGTGCAGGAAGGGTGGCTCGCTGGTGCTAAAACCTCTTGCGCTGATAAGAAGACCCACCCCATACCCGAAACCCTAAACCATAATCCCCAAACCCCAAGCCCTAAACCCTAAGCCCCCGCCAGTTCGGGATTGGGGTGCAGGCCGCAAACGGGAGGACAAGAGGTTTAGGGGGTTTAGCGGGCTTGGGGTTTTAGGTCATAGGTACCCTGCTTGAAAGTTCATGGGTTCATGCGCAGTTATCGCTGCTGTTATGAGCAGTGTGACTCTAGCTTCTTCTGGTTGTATGACCCTGCCTCGGGGAAGGGTGTGTCAATCACCGTTAAGTGAGCACCTAAGCCCTACATCCTCTACGTGCCTGGCTTGGTTTCTAGTCGCCAGTTGGGGTCCTGGTCGGCCTTTGCAGCCGAAACCCCAAACCCGGCACCCCAAATCTTGAATCGAAGCCCTAAAACTTCAACCCTAAACCCTAAACCCTAACTAAACCCTAACTAAACCCTAAACCCTAAACCCTAAACCCTAAACCCTAAACCCTAAACCCTAAACCCTAAACCCTAAACCCTAAACCCTAAACCCTCCTGGAAGCCACCTAGAGGTGCAACCGCAACCTGCGGCAGAGGAGGCCGCCGGCGAGGGGCCAAGGAGGAAGTACGGGAGGGGGGGGCAAACCTTCCCCCTAGCTCTACCTAAACCCCTAAACCCCTAAACCCCTAAACCCCAAACCCCAAACCCTAAACCCTAAACCCTAAACCCTAAACCCTAAACCCTAAACTCTAAAACCCCAAAAACCCACCCTCAAAGCCCTAAAGCCCTAGACCCCGAAGCACTCCAAGAGCCCTGCAAGCCCTAGAAGCCCCAAAAAGCCCCGAAAAGCTGCCAAAAGCCCTGCACCAAGGCCCGGCAGAGACAGCAGCGCCTCCCATGGCCGAGCAGCCGGAAGAGACGGCCGCACCGGCCGAGGATGTTCCGTTTTATTATTTTTTTGAGTTTTAAATTTCTATCTTCCAGCTTTTTTTCCTTTCTCTCTTCCAGGTCTTTGGGATAGGGCTTCGGGTTGAGGGTTTGTAGGATCTTTTAGGGTTTGTGGAGTTTAGGGCGTTTAGGTTGGCGAGGCTTTGAAAGCCATTGTTTACGCTCTTGCTGCGGTCTGACACCCCTAAACCCATAAACCCCTAAACCCCTGAACCCCTAAACCCCTAAACCCCTAAACCCCTAAACCCCTAAGCCCCTAAGCCCCTAAACCTCTAAACCCCTAAACCCTTTTAAACGCGGTAAAGGGCAGTTCAGTCGCCAGTGGAGCCTGCAGCAAGCTCCAATGACACGCAGCAGCGGGACCGGGCCTAAACGAGGCCCGAGAACATCAGAGGGACAAGTTGCAGGACCGCAGCAGCACCGACCCTGAACGCTAAACCCTAAACCCTAAACCCTAAAACCTAAACCCTAAACCCTAAACCCTAAACCCAAAACCCTAAACCCTAAACCCTAAACCCTAAACCCTAAACCCTAAACCCTAAGCCCTAAGCCCTAAACCCTAAACCCTAAACCCTAAACCCTAAACCCAAACATCCCGAGCCCTTGCCGAGCTCAAACTTCTCACGCGAAAGAGCTCCCGTTGACGATACCGCCACCTGACCTGAGGGTTTGGGTTTAGGGTTTAGGGTTTAGGGTTTAGGGTTTAGGTTTAGGTTTAGGGTTTAGGGTTTAGGGTTTAGGGTTTAGGGTTTAGGGTTTAAGGTTTAGGGTCTAGGGCTTAGGGGTTTAGGGTTTAGGGGTTTCCATCCCTAAACCCTAAACCCTGAAGCCCCACAAAGGCTTCAAGCTTTGGACACAGCCGGGAAGCTTCCCTAAACCTCCTGAACCCTCAACGCTGACCCTGAAGACTTTAAGCCTGAACCTGAAGCCCTGAACTCTACAGCCTCAATCCTACACCCTTGCCCCTACGGCGCGCCTTTTTTGCCTGGTTACCCTAATTGAGGAGCAACTTTATCCCAAAAGAGGAGACTATTGCTCCAGATTGGAGGCTAAACCACCCCCTAATGTAAACCCTCAGCTGAGCTGTGAGACGCCTGAGGGTTTAGGGTTCATTGTTTGAGGTTTAGGTTTCAGGGTTTAGGACCCTGAACCCTACACCCTAAACCCTAAACCCGAAACCCTAAACCCTAGGGTTTAAAGGGCTCAGTGCCTTTTCGCTGATGGCGCCAGGGTTTAGGGCACCTGGTGGTCAGGAGGTGCCTGCTTCGACTGCCGATTCGATGGAGGCTCGACGTCTTCGTCCATCATTCTCACGCCCCCGCGCCGAAGCCCTAAGGGTTTAGGGTTTAGGGTTTAGGGTTTAGGGTTTAGGGTTTAGGGTTTAGGGTTGAAGGTCCCAGAACGTTTCGTGGTTTAGGTTCCGGAGGTTGGGGTATCCTCAACCTGAGACCCTAAACCCCAAACTCGAAAGATCTGAAAACCCCTCAACCCTAACATCCCACGCTTTTGTGAATCTCGAAAAACGGGGACTTCGACTGGCTTCTTGGCTTCCCTCCTCCTGAACATGGGGTTTCGGGTTTTGGGGGGTTTGGGGTTGAAGGTTTTGTGCTTTCGGGGTTTAGTAGGGTCACCCCAAACCCTAAACCCTAAACCCTAAACCCTAAACCCTAAACCCTAAACCCTAAACCCTAAACCCTAAACCCTAAACCCTAAACCCTAAACCCTAAACCCTAAACCCTAAACGAGCAACACAAACGGGGCAGCTAGCGAAGCTGCCCGGTGAGTCGGACTTCGGCCCCCTTCAGCTCGAACATGAGAGACAGGAACGATCTTTTTTCCGCAGCATTGTTGCAGCTGAGCTGAGTTATGAAGGGCTTCATCCACCCTGGGCTAATCCCTAAACCCTTAATCCCTTAAACCCTCTTACCCCCGCACCCCTAAGCTCCGACTTCTTTCGTGTCGTGCCCTGAGGCCGCCCCGCCTTAACCTCAAACCTAGTGAACTCCAAAGCCTCAACAGCCCTGAGCCTTAAGGCCTCAAGCCCGGAGCCTTAAACCCCCAAACTTTTCAAACCCGAAATCCCGAACCCTAAGCTTTAAACCCTCAACCCTAAATCCCTGAACCCAAAACCCCAAGAAACCCCTAAACCCTAAACCCTAAACCCTACCGTAAACCCTACCCTAAGCCCTGAACCCTGAACCCTGAACCCTGAGCCCTGAGCCCTGAACCCTCAACCCTGAACCCTGAACCCTGAACCCTAAACCCTGAACCCTCAACCCTAAACCCTAAACCCTAAACCCCTACACCCTGCCTCACCTTTAAACCCCGAACCCATGCCATGGCCCTCGGCTACCCCGGCCCCACGGGCACCTGGTCATCCGGCCGCTGTCGCGCCGAGATCCTGGGGAGGCCAGGCTTAGGGTTTAGGGTTTAGGGTTTAGGGTTTAGGGTTTAGGGTTTAGGGTCTAGGGTCTAGGGTCTAGGGTTTAGGGTTTAGGGTTTAGGGTTTAGGGGGTTTAGGGTTTAGGGGGTTTAGGGTTTAGGGGGTTTAGGGTTTAGGGTTTAGGGTTTAGGGTTTAGGGTTTAGAAGGTTTAGGGTTCAGGGTGTAGGGTTTCGGAAGGAATGAGGGAATGAGGTACCCTGCATAGTCCCTTAAAGGGTTTATATAGGGGGATATAAGGGGGATATAGGGTGCCTCATTCCTTCATTCCCTGCTGACCAACAGGAAGGAAGGAGCCTAACGGTTTAAAGCCAGGACCCGAAGCCCTAAACGAAGCCCAAGCGCGTTTCTTAGAGTTTGAGGGTTCAGGTTTGGGGTTTGGGGTTTAGGGTAACTTAAGATTCAGGGGTGAGAGCTTATACCATTTTAAGCATTCTGCTTTCATCGTCTTCCCGGTAGAGGCCCGCTATCCCTAAACGCCCCCTACTCGGGTTTCTGGTTCAACCCCAAGCCCTAAACCCTAAACCCTAAACCCTAAACCCTAAACCCTAAACCCTAAACCCTAAGCCCTAAGCCCTAAACCCTAAACCCTAAACCCTTAACCCTAAACCCTAAACCCTAAACCCGAAACCCGAAACCCTAAACCCTAAACCCTAAACCCTAAACCCTCAACATCAAACCCGAAACCCTAGACCCTAAACCCTAAACCCTAAACCCTAAACCCTGAACCCGAAACCCGAAACCCTAAACCCTAAACCCTAAGCCCTACCACCAGGAATGCTGGTGGCTCCCATGTGGAGTACCAGATTGGCGTGCCGGAGACTGAGCGGGCTTGCCAGCTCTCAGGCCCCCCCAAGTGCGAACCCCCTAGACCCTAAACTTGAGACTACCCTTTAGCGCCCCCTAAACCCTAAACCCTAAACCCTGAACTCTGAACCCTGAACCCTAAACCCTAAACCCGAAACCCCAAACCCTGCAAAAAAAAATTATCCCTAAACCCGAAACCCGAAACCCTCAACTGCTCCATGAACCTTGAAGCAAAGGAAAGCGGAGGATGGCAGGGAGTGGGTGGTCTGCCGCCGTTACCGCGAGTTTCAGGCCCTCCAGGCGCCCCCTTCAAACTTAGGGTTTCGAAGGGTTTCGAAGGGTTTAGAAGGGTTTAGAAGGGTTTCGAAGGGTTTCGAAGGTTTTAGAAGGGTTTAGAAGGGTTTACTAGGGTTTAGGGTTTAGGGTTCGGATTTGGTAGAGGGATGTAGGGGGATTTGTCCTAAGTTGGGTTGATCCTAGGCCCTCAGACATATAAGAAGCTCCCAAATAGCAGGTTTGGGGTGGTGTAGGGTGGGAGGTTTGGGGTTTGATGAGGGTTGGGCCTGAGCACTTTTAGTCCTCATCCCTAAAGCCTAGACCCTAAACCCTAAATGGTTTGAGGTGGAGGCTTTGGGATTTGAGGCCTATGGTTGCTGGGTTTTTGGGGTTAACTTCAGAGTTGTGCTAAGAGGTTTGCGGTAAAGGTTTGGGGTTTGGGGTTTAGGGTTTGGGGCTTTGGGTTTAGGGTTTAGGGTTTCGGGTTTGGGTCATCGTTCGTGCAAAACACATGAGCAACAAAGCGTCTTCTCGAAAGCCGTAGCAGATACGCCACACATTTGAGCATCTTGGAAAAGAAGAGGTTAAACAACCTAAGCGCTTGTTTCTTTGACTTCAACAACGGGTCTGTCAAGTGCCCTCCTTCCCTGGCCCCCGCTACGGTCTTCCAAACCCTAAACCCTAAACCCTAAACCCTAAACCCTAAACCCTAAACCCTAAACCCTAAACCCTAAACCCTAAACCCTAAACCCTAAACCCTAAACCCTAAACCCTAAGCCCTAATCTAAATGCAGAGCTCCGTTAGGGTTTCTTAGGCTCTTCTATAGTCCCTGCCCTGGCCTCCCCCCAGATTTCCCTGAGGCGGAACTGCGTCTTGTGGCCGCGGCGCCCCCACTTCCGCAGAGGCGGCGGGTTGCAGAGGGTTGTAGAGGGCTCGAAAGCCTCAGAAGTGGCCTTAGAGGGTTCGGGGGTTTGGGCTTAGGAGAAATTTAGGGTTTAGGGTTTCGGATATCTAGGTCTAGGTCTAGGGTTTTTGGGCCCCAAGGAGGGTTTTTGAGGAGAGTGTACCAGAGTCAAGTCTGAAAAGCACAGGTCCTTGGTGTCAGGGCGGCTTGCCAGGACTGACACAGCGTTTGCATGGTTCAGGGTTTAGGGTTTAGGGTTTAAGGGATCTTGAACAAACCCTTGGGCCTGAAAACAAAAGCACTTGCAAAGGAGCCCCTCTCGTCGCGACCCCCCTAAAACCTGACCCCAAAACCCTAAACCCAGAATCCTCGGCCAAGAAACCCTGTAAACCCAGAACCCAGAACCCTCGGCCAACAAACCCTCAACCCGTGAACCCTCCCCTAAACCCCTATACCCCTAAAACGCCCTAAACCCCTATAGACTAAACCCCTGAACCCTAACCCCTAAGCTCCTAAAACCCCTAAACCCCACAGCCCCCTGAACCCTAAACCCCTCAACAATCGTCGCTGTAGGCGGTTCCACGGCGCAGGGGCCCTCTTCCTCGGGCCACCGACGGAGGTGGGGCTTCGGGTTTAGGGTTTAGGATTTAGGGTGTAGGGTTTAGGGAATTTCTTGGGAAGTTGGGGGTTTAAGGGCGTCGGAGTTTCGGGATTTGGGGTTTAGGGTATAGAGTTTAGGGTTTGGAGTTTAGGGATTTAGGGTTTGGGTATAGAGTTTAGGGTTTAGAGTTTAGGGATTTAGGGTTGAAGGCCCAGGGTTTCGGCTTTTCAAGTTTAGGGATTCAGGGTTTAGGGCTCAGGGTTTAGGCCTTGAGAGATTTCGGGTGTAGGGTTTGGGGCTCAGGGTTTAGGCCTTTAGAGATCTCGGGATGTCGACAGACCACGCCCGCGCGAATCTTGACTTCTTGATCATTCAAGGTTCCGGTTAGCACCCTAACCCTGAACCCTAAACCCCAGTACGATGTGTAACGCCAAGCCCTCTAAAGGCCCTCCCCCAAAACCATCGAGAATCCCAAGAGTTTCAAGGGTCCCGACCTCTTGGCCTCCAACACTTCCGGGCTCCAGAAGACCTCCCTCAGAACCCCCCTCTGTAAGCTCATCGCCCGCACAGGACTCAGGGTTCAGGCTTTTCGGTTGCAGTTGGGGACGATGACTTCCTTTTTTGACGAAGAAAGAAGACCCAAATGAGGCAGGCTTGCAATCTGGGCCGAATTGCAGTGAAAGATCGACGATGTTCCCAAACGAGCCCTCAGCCCAAGCTCAAACCCTAAGCCCCAAAACCCCCGCCCCAAACCCCCCAAACCCTCAACCCTCAACCCTCAACCATAAACCCTAAACCCTAAATCCTAAACCCTAAACCCTAAACCCTAAACCCTCAACCCTAAACCCTCAAGCCAGCATTCCAAAACCTCAGCCCCATGATCAACTCCAGGCCTTCCTCGCTGCGCGCCAGGCAGGCAATGCTGCCCTTGACCCCTAAACCCTAACCCTAAACCCTAAACCCTAAACCCTAAACCCTAAACCCTAAACCCTAAACCCTAAACCCTAAACCCTAAAGTTGGGATGTTCCCCCTTATACTACTGTAACAGTCCTTAATGGGGATTCTAGTACACCTGATTAGAATCCCTATTGAAGACTGTTAGTATAAACTTCCGAAAGCCCAGAACCCCCAACAAACCCTCAAGTCTCACCCCAAACCCTCAACCCTCAACCCTCAACCCTCAACCCTCAACCCTCAACCCTCAACCCTCAACCCTCAACCCTCAACCCTCAACCCTCAACCCTCAACCCTCAAC